TTCCAACCTTAAGTTGCATGGCTCTATCATCTGTTGCTATGATGTCTGTCTACAAGGAATACATATTCTGATAACATGACAGGCTCGAAGAAGTCAGGTATTATCTATGATTGCAGGCTAACTGACGATTCCACCCCAAGGCAAGCTATTCACGCCCACTACATATAAATGTAGTTCGTGATCGAAAATCCACACAAAACAGCAAAAAACATAATACCAAGTCAATCTTCACCGGCCCCAGGACCCAGGAGACGAAAAAGATGGACGATCTGGGAATCGAACCCAGGACCTACCGCATGCTAAGCGGTCATTATACCACTAAACCAATCGCCCAGTGATATGATCTAGCCCGGACTTGAACCGGAGACCTTCAGTGTGGCAGGCGAGAGAGGCGAAGCACTCTTTCGAGCTGTTAGACTGACGTGATAACCAACTACACCACCAGACCATGTTTTGTTGGAAACAATCAGAAAAAAGGGCGACTAGGTATGATTGGGGTGGGGGAACCATACTGGTTTGCCAAAATTGCGCGGGCGTTGCTGTGTGGTGCGGTGTGGAATGTGAAAGAGTGGATGTGGTGGCATCGTGAGAGCAAATTTCGTTGGTTGGGGGGGACGCGGAAAGTGACCGGGGTGCGCCGTGTTCCCAACCCCGACAGGCCTGGACCGGCCGGGTTCTCGCGTGGCTGCCATGGTTCGAAACGGGGTGAGATGCTGATAGGCAGGCCGGGTGGGCCAGAGCGGAGGGAGAAAAGAGGCGGTTGAAGAATCTGAAGAGCGACTCGGCAAGGTCATGGGGCATTTACAGGACGGGTCGGGTACGGATAGATGCCATGCGAGTTCATAAGTGTTCGCCATTGTGCGATACGTACAAGAGGGAAAAAATGGTGGCCTCTTTCTCTTCCAGCCCACTCGTGAGATCCAATGGACTATAGAATGGCAGGGGAGACAGGCGCAAAATAAATACAGATAAAAAATCCACTCCATGTTCCCCCTTCCGTCTGATCGCGTGAAAAGTATGCGTACAATAAGTCAATCGTTGGTGGGGAATCAAGAGCCCGCCGTGTCTCCTATACGCGGCAGCTGATAAAAAGGGAAAAAATCGTGGCTTCATCGGAAAAGAGCTGGGGTTTTGGGTTCGTGAGGCGGTAGCGCACGTGTATGTGCTCCGCCGTTTTTTTGTGTCGCCCTCAATTAGTACCGTCCATTCGTCCGAGCCATGGTCATGAAATCTAAACAATCGTAGTGCTGCTCTTTTAGAAGTGCTGTCCCTTTTCCATCATACGAGGGAGGTGCCGCAGCTGCCTCCTCATTCCATTACTTTCTCCAAATCGTCGTTGTAGTGCGATTGCGCACATGCGTGTCCGATTGTTGAGATCATACCCGCTAATTCTTCTTGGTGAGAGCAACGCCCAAACCGACACCGAGCGCGATGGCAAGGATGATGAGTACAACAACAAGGAGGCACCACCACTTGAGCTTCTTGCGTCTGCGCGCGTGGTCTGTCGCAACTTTGACTTCTTCATTGCCCTTTTGGATGTTTTCGACAGTCTGTTCGGCGTTCTGCTCGGCGGCTTGGACGACAGGTTCCTGCTGCTCGACAATAGTGGCCAATTCCTGGAAGAGTTGGCCAAGCTCCATCATGGTTTGCTCAATGCGCTGCAACTCGCTGTGACGGGCTCTGACGTTGCCCAAAATAGTGTTGGCGTGGCCTGTCCGGTTGGATTTGAGCTGGTCAAATCGTTAGTATACAGTGCCGAAGAGCCGACCAAAATCGGCCATAAACAATGCTAGAACGTACCGCTGTTTGGAAAACACCTTCGTCGCCCCAGTCCATCTGTGTCGCTTGCTCGACTTCATCTTCCGTCGCTTCCGGGTTAACGATGCGGTACTGGCGGGCAATCTGGTCGCGGTACCGCTTCTGGTAATCGCGCTCGATCTGCTGATACTTTTCGAGTTCGGACTTGAAGGTGTTCTTCAGAGAGTTGAGCTGCGCGGTCTTGGTTGCGCGCGATCCATCCTGTGTCTTGGATAGATCCCTCTCGAGGGCCTTGATGCCTTCCTTGACGCCGGTGTTGCGGATCTGAGTCGCGGAGACAGCCTGCTCAAGCTGGGCGCTGGTGCTGCCGTCGGGGGAGCCGAGAGAGCGCTGATGAAGCTGGGCAATGCCCTCAATGTCGGAAGTCAGGCCATTGATCTCTGTGCGCAATTGTTGGACCCGGGCAAGGAAATCTTGCTGGCTCAGAGTACGAGGCGCGGATTGCCCGGCATACTTGTCCGCCTCTCCGTACGGCTGCATTTCGTACTGGCCTTGGCCATATTGAGGCTATTATTCAGAAAAAGTCAGCGATATGGCATTGAGAGGGAATGCGCGGACGAAATTGGAGGGCGACGAACTTGTTGGTTGTCATAGCCGTATCCGCCTTCGGCCTGGGGGCCCTGGGCGTATGGATTTTGGTTATACTGTTGGTACGACATGTCTGACTCAAAGCAACTGTCAATGTCGACGATAGACAGTGCGATTCGAATCGCAGTTTAATCGACGAGAGAGCAGAGTTGAATGAGAGAGTCCGGCGCTATATGGTGTGATTGAGCCGGCGGTCTCGTGAGATTGTTGTGATGGTGCAAGGTGAAGGACCTTTCGGCTGATGTTTGGTTGTTAAATGACGTTAGACCTCCGGCCGCTGACAGGAACTGGGAAGTGCTGGAGAGACACTGAAATGACAATGAGGACGGGCCCAATCAGGCACCGAGACCTGTCAGAGCGGATACCCCGGGCTGTGTATGTGGTTGGATGGAGTCGCTCGTGAACGGGGCGACAGTGGGCAGGATTGGCCGATCTGCTTTCCGGGGTCCCTTTTTTTCTCTCGTTCCCTTCTTCCTGTTAAAATCTGACCAAGAGGAAACAAATAAACAAGCTTTACGAAGGAAATTCCTTCGTTTAAAATGAGTCCAAAGACGAGAAGAAATTCGAGGCTGCCCACCGCGCTTTTCAGATCTTAGTCAGACTCGGTACTTTATTCGATACCCAAGACGTCGGCCGGGAACAGTGAAAGACTGGATGAAGCGAACACCAGGTCAGTGACATCAGAACATGTTGCGCCGACGGGCGGGGCGAAGCTTATTATACCCAGGACGCATGTTCTACTCTGTAGCGGCAAGGTAGGGACGGACGGACGGTCTCACCCACCCCCCAGCGAGTCCCCAAGGGTCTGTCTCTCTCTCTCTCTCTCCTCACTCACTGGGCAGCAGCCACACACACACATACACACATACCTCACACAGGTTACTTTTTAGGTGCTCTGCTCTGTGTCTGCCCACCGCCGTCCGACGGGCCTTTGGTGCTGGCGGGAGGTTGGAGGCTGTAGCTGCCCCTCGTTCTCTCCGGGGGTCCGATCAGGCCTGTCCGTTTCCTTCTCATTCCCGTCCTTTCCCATCCTCGCTTGGCGAGCAACGCCCAGCCACCCCGCTGCGGAAAGAGTGACGATTGACAGCTGAGCAGCAAAATCGCAATGGAATGGGGAGCATTACACTACCCCGACTACCTACTGCGTAGAACATGGGTTGCTGAGTGGCGGCGGCGGCATCGGCAGATGTCAAATCGTGTCTGCGCCCCAAAAATAGACCTTGATATTCGGAATGCGGCTACAACACACCTCAGTTTGCTTGGGGATTTTTAACCAATTGACTCTTAGCTCTATCGCATACGGAACCCTTCCTACCTGATGCGAGAGCCGAGAAACGACAGGCAGAAGCTCAAAGTCCGTCGGCTTGTTCGCTGACCACGCTGGTCCCTAGCCCGGGGAATCGTCACCATTTTGTGGCTGTGCGAACACTTCCAGTTAACACACCTTAACGTTAACGTCCTAAGCCTCTCGATCCTCTTGCCGCGTATCAGCAGGCAATCCTCGGGCAGTGCTCAGTGCTGTACTGCCTCTACGATTACCCACTTCGCCTTATCCTTCTGGCCCTCTGCTCCGTACGCCGGGCTTCTATCGCACAGGACGATCAAAGACGATGGAAGCCACAGCGACAATTAGTCAATCAGAACCACGAGAGCTTACCTACGACGAAAGTACCTCTCGCGGCTTCTGCGTACTTTCCGCCCGTATCCGTATTGCGCGTATGTTCATAGCGGGGCCTCCATGACACCGAACTCTGTACGCGACCATTGGGACCATCTGATGTATTCCATCCCATGCTCAACCTTCAGTCATTGAGATCTTGGCGTTACTACCGCCAAGGCTTACTGCTGCTCGCCGCTCATTGGCTCGTAGTAGCTATTGCAAAGAAAGCTGCCGTCTTGACCTCAAGGCGTCACCTACCCTTATTGAACGAAAGCGCACCCTATGAGCCGCGGCCGATTCAGTGGTATTAATTGCCAAGTCGAGTTGTGGTCATTAGTCAAACTCGATGGTCTTTCGGCTACGTACGTCGATATGCTTTGTCATGAGCAAATCAACGATTAGAACTTAAGGACGAAGCTCTCAGGGGCTGGCCACAATCATGTAAATCAACCAGATGTAATAATTACTATTCAACAACATTTTGATTCTTCTTTTTGCCTGCCTTCCCTTGTCTTCTGCTGAAGCTTGTGATAAGTCTTTGTTTCCTACAGTCCGCCATCTTGCTGTTGTAAGCCGCCCAGAAACCACAGCATTCTAGCTTGGATATCTTCGGTTCAACATCGTTCTTCATCTTCCACTTCGCGAAGTTTCATGAGTGCCTCTGCCACGACGCTCGTCTTTTCGAATCCACCGACGACGCTTGAACAGCGCCTGGGTATTGTGGCCTCATTGAAATCCGCGTTCTCGTGACCTCCGGCTTCATTTCGTGGCGTACTGATTGACAAGTTCTGTTTGTCGTTGCTGTATTTCGCCCACGCAACGAGCCGATCTTCTGGGCGCTGATCGTATTAAACTTGCCCCGTGATCTTTCACGGCAGCGACGCTTAGGCCTTCGACAACATCTGTCGTGTCGGTTCTCTTCTGTGGTCCTTTCTCACAGATACTCCTTCTTTCTACCAGTACGAGTGTACTGTGTAAGGTGCCATTCAACATCGCCATCCTTGTTTTCCAAGGTACCACCGCGAATCTCGAAGGGTCGCATTGTCATCCGAGGCCCAACCTCAGCAAGCTCGACAGAATCGTACGAAGTCCGGACAAAAACGTGACTACCAGGGTATTAGCAAAGGTCTAGCGGGGGATCGGAACTACGAATGAGCTTACTGTCTGACTTCAATGGAGTCTTCGTTATTCACAAATGTCACTACCCTTGACCCTACCTTAGCCTTGGTGGTGGGGGGATCGAGTGGAGGGAAAAGATGTTTCAGGATCTTCACGATCCGCTGTCCTAGCCGACTAGGAGAGTTGATTGATGATTAGTGACTGTCGAACGACATCCCAAGCCGATATCTCATACCTCTTAAACCCCTCAAATATTAACCGCGGGAAAGCTTCTGAGACGGATCCTCTGATGCTTCCGGGTATGTCTGCTCTGAGTACAACGTTATGGAGGGACATTGATAGCGTAGGGCCGTGTGGAAGATGGGAAATGCTTTGTTGGAGAGGTTCGTCAGCTGGTGGCTCGTCTTGGATTCAAAACAGGGTGACGTACGTCATGGCAGTTGGCACACCGCGATGTTCGTGAAGGAGGACAATGTCCGTAAGCCCGTTGGACTTGCTAGACTGCACAATGTCCGGCAAAATCAAATTTCCACGATTGAGCCTAACGGATGTAGGCAATAGCAGTCTGATCTCTTTCGAGAAGGCTGAAAGCCTCGAAGACGGATCTCTTGAAGTCTGAAAGGGTGAGCTTTTACTGATGTGCCTAAGATGAAATAATGGAATAAACTAACTGAAACCAAAAGGCGTGGCTCCGAGATTCCCGACAATTGAGAGTATTCGTCGTCGAGATCCATCTCCTCGTCGACTGTTCGATCGGGTCGCGACTCGTCATATTGGTAGTCTTTCCGCAGCGCCTTGTTCTTTGCGATTTCGGGGTCGATGGGCTTGCCAGAAGCAAGGGCAGATCGTAGCTGGGCGCGCTTCTCGGTCGTCTCCGCCTCTTTTAATATAAGCGCCTTGCGATAGAGGTAGTCGCGCCGTTGTCGAGCCTGTTTCCGGATCATGTTGGGCTGTTGGAATGTGAGATGGTGGGATGTCAATGCTAGAGTTTCGCAATGCATTCATGGTACCTAAGATAGGCTGATCGAGAAAAAAAACCTTATCAGCTGGCAGGTATCCACTTTCGAGCACCCCAGTGTGTGGGTCACGTGGTGATAAGCTACATCCCACCAAAACACCACCCTTTCGCCGCTACCTACCTACTGTGTCGGACTTTGGATCTTTCCTAGGTGCTTGGATTCACCAACGAAAAGGCACACAACCACTCCCGACAATTCCATGCCCCGTTGGTGTACCTTTGAAGTTTCCGCACGAATCCCCCAACTTCACATACCGATATGATGTGACCATCCCCCTCCCCGATCCACCTCGAATCCCCCTTCCGTACGACCTGAGCCAACTGAGGCTCTGCGACGCCGAACCATTCGAGAACCATAAAGAAGCTGAAAGTAAGTTGCGCATTCCCCATAGCGCCTGAACAATGTCCCCGAAAACACAGCAGGCACATACGCAGGATTTTCTGCATTTACATCGTATGCGACAGCCTACTGACACTTTTGTAAGGGAGATCAGCAGAGAGAAGTAGAAATCCGGAACACCGCGAATATGGAGAGCGCCTTCAAGAATCTCGGGAACCACCTAGTTTCCGACAGCGCCGCTGCGATCAAGGCCGGCGACGATGTCTTGACCGGTATCGATGCCGATGAGAGCCTTCTCTACGGCAAATTTGGCGGCCGCGACGGTCGCCGCCGTGCCGACGATGACGACAACCAAACCGAGCTTTACGATGATGACGATGTGGACAGCCTGACCAGCATGCCGATTGGGGCTATGAAGGATCTCAATATTGGAAGACCCAAGGAGGAAGATAGGAAGCTTCCCCCTCACGCTTGCGCGTATGGCATGCCTCCGAGCTTCCGAGCCTCCTCTTGAATCTAACACTGGCTTAGGTATTGTGGAATTCATTCCCCGAGCTCCGTCGTCAAGTGCCTTGGCTGCAACAAGTGGTTCTGCAGCGCCCGCGGAAATGCTACCTCCAGCCACATTGTTTCCCATCTGGTCCGGGCGAGACACAAGGAGGTTCAGCTTCACCCGGAGTCTACCCTGGGTGATACTGTACTTGAGTGCTACAACTGCGGAACCAAGAACGTCTTTCTCCTGGGCTTCATTCCTGCCAAGTCGGATACCGTTGTTGTGCTGCTATGTCGTCAGCCCTGTGCTGCGAACACATCCTCCAAGGATATGAGCTGGGATACCTCTCGATGGCAGCCCCTGATTGAGGAGAGAGCTTTCCTGACCTGGCTCGTCGCGACGCCCTCCGATGCCGAGCAGCTCCGCGCTAGACACCTCACCCCACCGATGATTGCCAAGCTGGAGGAGATGTGGAAGGAAAATGCGACTGCTACGGTTGCTGACCTTGAGAAGGCCGCTAGCATCGACGACGATCCTCACCCCGTCCTCCTCAAGTACGACGACCCTTACCACTACCAGAACATCTTTGGCCCCCTCGTCAAGATGGAATCCGACTACGACAAGAAGCTCAAGGAAGCCCAGTCTGAGGACGGACTTACGGTCCGCTGGGATTACGGCCTGAATAACAAGCACCTGGTCAGCTTTGAACTGCACAAGATAGAGTCGGGTGACGTTAAGCTGGCCGTTGGCGACGAAATGCGATTGCGATACAAGGGCGAACTCCGCCCTGCCTGGGAGGGAGTCGGCTATGTCATCAAGATCCCCAATAATCAATCCGATGAAGTCACTCTCGAGCTGCGTAAGGCCGGCAACGAGAAGACTGTGCCGACTGAATGCACCCACAACTTCTCAGCAGACTATGTCTGGAAGGCTACCTCGTATGATCGCATGCAGTATGCCATGAAGACTTTCGCCGTGGACGACATGAGTGTCTCGGGTTACATTTTCCACAAGCTCCTGGGCCACGACGTCGCTGTCGCGCCGATGAAGACGACTATGCCTAAGAAGTACAGCGTCCCCGGCCTCCCCGACCTCAACACTAGCCAGATCGCCGCCATTAAGGCTGTGCTGTCGACCCCGCTCAGCTTGATCCAGGGACCACCAGGCACCGGCAAGACTGTTACTTCGGCAACCATTATCTACCACCTGTGCAAGATGAACAACGGACAAGTTCTTGTGTGCGCGCCCTCCAACGTCGCCGTCGACCAGCTCTGTGAGCGCATCCACCGCACCGGCCTCAAGGTCGTTCGTCTTACAGCCAAGTCCCGAGAGGATGTTGAGTCCTCCGTGAGCTTCCTTGCTCTTCATGAGCAAGTTCGTATGAACGACAGCAATGGTGAGCTTGTCAAGCTGGCGCAGCTAAAGACCGAGCTTGGCGAACTATCCAGCCAGGACGAGAAGAAGTTTAAGCAGCTCACCAAGGCCGCCGAAAGAGACATTCTACACAACGCAGATGTCGTCTGCTGCACCTGTGTCGGTGCCGGCGATCCTCGTCTGTCAAAGATGAAATTCCGTAATGTTCTTATTGACGAGTCGACTCAATCGGCCGAGCCCGAGTGCATGATTCCCCTCGTTCTCGGATGCAAGCAGGTTGTCCTCGTTGGTGACCACAAGCAGTTGGGCCCTGTCATCATGAACAAGAAGGCTGCCAAGGCTGGTCTCAACCAGTCCTTGTTTGAGCGTCTCGTCAACTTGCGCTTGGTTCCCATTCGCCTCAACATCCAGTACCGCATGCACCCTTGCTTGTCCGAGTTCCCGTCCAACATGTTCTACGATGGATCTCTCCAGAACGGTGTTACAGTCAAGGATCGCGTTCGCCGCGATGTCGACTTCCCATGGCCTGTGGTTGATATGCCGATGATGTTCTGGTCCAACCTTGGCAATGAGGAAATCTCGGCATCCGGAACGTCCTACCTCAACCGTACCGAAGCCTCCAACGTGGAGAAGGTTGTAACCCGCTTCTTCAAGGCTGGCGTAAAGCCTTTGGACATTGGTGTTATTACGCCGTACGAGGGTCAGCGAAGCTACATCGTTAGCACCATGCAGAACACTGGCACATTCAAGAAAGAGAGCTACAAGGAAGTCGAGGTTGCCTCCGTTGACGCCTTCCAGGGTCGTGAGAAGGACTTCATTGTTCTATCCTGTGTTCGTTCCAACGACAACCAGGGCATCGGTTTCCTTTCGGATCCCCGTCGTCTTAACGTCGCCTTGACTCGTGCTAAGTACGGCCTTGTCATTATTGGTAACCCCAAGGTCCTTTCCAAGCACGAGCTTTGGCACCACCTCCTTGTCCACTTCAAGGACCGTAAGTGCTTGGTTGAGGGACCTTTGACCAATTTGCAGACCTCGCTGTTGCAGTTCGGAAAGCCCAAGACAGCATATCGCCAGAAAATGAGCCAGCCACCTCAATTCAATGCCGGTGGCGGGTTCCCCAACGGCGGCGGCAACCGCTTCAACGGTGCTGGCTCTACACGCGACTTTGACTCAGGCTCTATGATGTCCTACATTCCCGACGACGTCTCCTCGATCCACAGCTCTCTGGGCGGTGCCGGCTTGAACACCACTTACCCTCCCATCTTCTCGAGCTTCACCCCTGATCAATGGCCAGGCCTCCCCGGAGTGCCCGGGTCCAGCCGCTCCGGCATCAAGAGAGGAGGTCGCGCCACTGAGAGCATTGCGGGCGAAAGTGTCGCAAACTCGGAGTACACAGATGCTAGCGCTAGCGTCATCGGTGCAAAGGGTGTTGGACAGGGCGGTGTCAGCCTGGGCGCCGGTCTCCAGGACGCAATTCACGGTATGCGCCCTGCATCCTACAGCCACAGTGACCGCTTGAAGCATTACGTCGAGAGTGGTGGTCGCATGGGAGCCGGCAATGGCTTCGGCCGTCGCTACGATGACGACGAGAAGAGCGTCAGCACCGCCTTCCACAGCCAGATTGGTGGCGGCTTCGACTGAGTGCCGAGATGGATTGGGACAGGGACTTGCTTTACCAAACCCAAGGGTTATTCATACCTCATCCTCTGAAGGCTTCAGCCCTCGCCGCACCATGCTCGGTGCTGTACACAGGAACAGGCAGCACGCCTGAGCCTAGAGGCGTCTCGGAATACCGGCTCCGGTCATTGAGAACCACTCCACGTGGTCGGCCATTCGGCTTCCAACGACGACAACGACGTGCCGCAGGCGGGTCATGGCCCGACCAGCGAGAGCTGCAACCGACGGAGGGGGTCGCACGCGCGCCCTCAACGGCCCGTACTTTGCAGATTGTCAATCAGAGAGATGTCGAGTGTTAGCAAGGGGATGAGATCTGGCGGAGGTAGGATGTTATGCTCGGGCGGAGGACACGGGTCAGCGTCTGAGGAGGCAACTCAAAATGCTGTCGAGCATTGAGGCGTAGAAGCGATAAGTCTTCTATGGCACACTGCATTTACTGCGAGGAAGCCCACGACAGATGTCATGCAGTTTCTATGTCGCACGCAGAAAGCGCACTACGAGATCCAGCTTAGAGTTTAGCTTCTTAGTTTAATCACCGTCTTTATTTGCACCTTGTTCTCTGCCCCCAGATTGCGCTAATCATCGCGAGACCACCCTCCCAATATTCCTATCCACAGTCCTGGCCGGGCCGGAGAGGTAAACTTGTCAATACCTATGGCACATGCAGACCCTGTGTTCCTTGAGTATCGGATATACTCCGAAGTAAGGTATCTTTTCGAGATGATTGCCATGGTGCCTTGCTCATTAGTATTACGGAGTACTTGTTTGGGTTCAAAGGATGGAAGAATTGTATCCTCTTTTTTCCTTGCTGATGGCGTAGCATCAGCCAATCCACCGATAGACAGGGGGCAGGGTCTGGGACCCCACAGACTTGAAAATAGATTGCCAGCGACGGGGGGCCACCCATGTCCAAGCGCGGGAGCCTCACCCAATCTGACAACGACAAGCAGGTCACCACCCCCTGACAGTCCTGACGGACATGCATTCTTCGCGAGACCGGGCCATCTGATGGGAGGTCCACTATGACGATCCGTCTGATTCT